TGTTGTTATATCTGTCACTGAAATTCTGTGTGTACAGTATTGAAGCCAAGAGACCCTGAAAGCCACCCTCACTGGAAAATCAAATGCCCATCTACTGATTTGGAGTACTTGTAAAACACCAGTGTTCATGCTCTCTTGGTTGCTCACATCTCATAAATCTTGGACAAATGTCCCCTATGTCCCCAGAATAATTTTAGAGCACTATATTATTACCTTACTTGTACAGTAAACATATGTTATTGAGTTTCAGCAACTCATTCTGTGTGAATGTTTCACTTACAAGAGGATGTGTTGTCAACATAGTCATGTTGGCATTAAGGCACTCCTCACTGCAAGCTCTGAATAAATTCTGGTCTGTTTGTGGGAGTCCTATTAAGGATACTATCTGAAAATGGGGCTTTTTGAAGACATGTGAGTCACGAGGCAAGCGTGTCTTTGAAAGAAAAGTGGATTACTGAGTGGCTAAAACCTGGGAGTGAAAAATGCGGGAATATGGATGAAGGGAAGATGAAAGAGGACGAGTCTATCTGAACTGGGGAGAATCTTCCTGAAGCAGTGTACCTGTGTTCGAGTGGTAAATTGAATATGGAAAAATGCTTTGGTATTCTCTCCTTTACAAGCCCTGATCATCACCTGAGCTGAAGGTATTTCTGTTCTGTGCTTTGGAATTCTTTTAATATCACATTTAATATTTTTTTCAAAAATATTTTTCTTGAAATAATTTTAAATACACAGTAAAATAGCACAGAAAGATGTTATAATATCCTTGAGTTACCCATGCAGATGATGAGCCTAAAAAATAGCTTGGCACAGGAACTATTTATTGAAGTATAGGCTTTTTCCATATTTTTACTGGGTTTTTAAGTAATGTCATTTTTTCTGCCCCAGGATAAACAGATTGGCATTTACTGTCAGGGTATTATTTATGCTGACAAAATAAATCTCCACATACTAAGTGGCCTTCTACTCACAGTTTCTCTGTATCATGAATCCGATGCAATGATGCCAAGGACCAGGTCTCAAGTGAAGGTTCAGTTGGGGAAGGAATGGTCCCTTCCAAATTCATGGCATTGTGTCTAGGAGGAAGGCCCTGTGCTTGTTGAGATGACTCACTGGTGAACTATTCCAAACCTGAAAAGTAATTAACGTAACAATCTATCAAAACTCTCATAAAAAGTAAAACAACTGAGTTATAAGTAGAGATCACTTCCTGATATATACTATTAGTGGTTATACTGATACTTACAACAAAAGCAAGGACATTTCAAGAAAGAAAATTAAGATCCATGATGTTTTATAAACATAAAGGACAACCGGTCCTTCTCAATAAGATGCTAGCAATACCAAATCAGCAAATGCTAAAAGAATTACACACCATCACCAAGTGTATTGTCTAGGGAATGCACTAAGGTGGTTCAAGCTATACAACAATAATTCCAGGTGGTCCATGCGCCTAATAAGAATAAAAGTAAAAAACGAAAAGTCATGTATTGATCATTCTCAACAGAGCAGAAAAGGCACCTGCGATAAATCCAAGAATCCATTTTTGATAACCAATATACATACAAATTAGCGTATAAGGAAAGTTTTCTTATCTTAGTAAGGGCTATCCATGGAAAAACTCAGTATCTATCATAATTTAATTTAAAGGCTCAAGAATAGGTATAACATGGACAACAGGATCAAAGAAATACTAGTAGAATTGAGACATTTCAAAAATTAACTTTACCTCTAATAGTCAAAGAGGCATTTTATAAGGTTGCCAATTCAATCAATATGGAAAATACATTTGAAAACAATGTGCTAAGGACCAATTGAATATTTCGTCACACAAGCAAGTTGACTTCTCACGTCACAATCACATACATAATTGGCCTCACAAACTAGATCATATATCCAGAATGTAAGAGTAAACTACCGACCCCAAACCCAGAGTAAGATAATATAGAAATACGTAATTTGGGTCTTAGGTTAAACAATAACTCCTATAATTTCTAAGATATGATACTTAAAGCCCAACAAAAATAAATAAACAGTAATATATTTAACTTTATAAGAATTGAAATCTTCCGGGATTCAAAGTACATCATTAAAAGTAAAAAGATAATGCAAAGAATAGAAGAAAATCTTCACAATCACATAGAAGGACTAACTGATTTTCAACAAAGCAGACAAAAACATACACTGAGGAATGAACATCCCATTCAATAAAAGGTGCTAGGAAAATAAGATAGACACATGTAGATAATGAAATTGGATCCTTATCTGTCACCATATAAAAAAATTAACTCAAGATGCATTAAAGACCTAAATGTGAGACATGAAACCATAAAGATTCTACAAGAAAAACTAGGAAAAAATCTTCTGGACATTGGTCTAGACAAAGAATATTTGACTAAGACCCCGAAAGCAACTATAACATAAACAAAAACAAATAAATGAGACTTAGCTAAACTGAAAAGCACAGCAAAACAAATAATCGACAGAGTAAAGAAACGTCCTATAGAATGGGAGAAAATATTTGGAAACTGTCCATCCAACAAAGGACTAACCCAGAATCTACAAGAAACACAAACATATCAGCAAGAAAAAAATAAATAATCCTATTAAAAACCGGGGGGATGACATGAACAGGCAAAAGATATACAAACGGCCAGCAAACATATGAAAAAAAAAATGCTCAACATCACTAGTCATCAGGGAATGCAAATTAAAACCATAATGCGATACCAACCTTAGCCTAGTCAGAAGGACCATTATGAAAAAGTCAATAAATGATTGATATTGGTGTGGATGAGGTGAAAAGGGAATGCTTATACACCCCTGGTGGGAATGTAAATTCGTACAACCTGTATGGTAAACCTGTATGGTAAACAGCATGGAGATTTCTCAATGAGCTTTTAAAAGCAGAGCTACCATTCAATCTAGCAATCCCACCACTGGGTATGGGCCCAAATGAAAAGAAGTCATTCTATCAGGCGCCACCTCCAGTCTTCCTGGACCCAGCAATTCAGGGGTTTCAGTTTTGGGACAAGTACGGGGTTCTCCATAAAGGCAGCGTTGGTGATGGACCCGACCCCTTGCAGCCCCACACGGAGGGAGTGGAGGGGCGCGTTCTGCAGCCTGCTGCACAGGATAAAAGGTAGATTCCACCTGGTGAGTGGAAGGTGCATGTGGCAGCTCTGCTGGGGCTGCGGGAGTACAGGAGAGAGTGGCTGGCTGCCTGGTGCACAAGTGTCTGCGGAGCACATGCTCAGAAGGCCGGGGCAGAGAGGCAAAGGTGCTGGTCGCAGAAACTTTGGTTCAGGGGCTCAACATGCCCGCCAGGGATGTGGCCCATCATCTGACCTTTGGAAGCAACTTTGTGCTCCTCACTCGGCTTCCTGTTACAAATCGTGGCAACATATATCAGAGGACTTGGGGGAAAATCGCCCTCTTGGCACCATCAGGTCCATTCTCAGTGGCGTTCTGCCGGGGATGGGAGGAAGTCCCCAAGGATGGTGTGAAGGAGGGGTGCCTGACCTTGGGCTTGGCAGATGGGTGAGCTCCACTTCCCAGTGCCAAAGCCCTTACTGCATCTGCTGCAGACTCCGTGAGACTGGGCACGGTGATCCAAGAGTTCACCCACGTCAGAAATTCTTTTGGTGCTGCTGCCCAGTGGAAGACCACAGCCTGCCTTCTTCCTGGGCCTGAGTGAAGTGACACGGCCACTGCCAGGGCGGGGGTCCAGGGAAGCCTGTCTCTGGTGTCACTGTGCCTGCGCCAAGTACGGAGAAATGTTTGTAAGGAGTTCACAACTCCCGAGAAAGCATTTTCAGTGGTTACTGGAGGAACCCTGCACTCTGGAAAATGCAGAGAACCAGGACTGTTGCCAGGATTAACTGGGTGACCTAAACGAGAAGCAACAGAGCCTGGCTCATTTCGGTACTCTGCATGGGTTAGTTGCCACCATCAGCTGTGATGGGCACATGTGGTGACTGCCTCAGGAGATGGCAGTGGTCCTCAGGAGTCTGGAGACTGGGAGGTCCCAGATCAAGGCACCAGCAGGTTTAGCGTCTGGTGACAGCCCATTTCCTGGCTCCTGGTCAGCGGGTTTCTCTTGTGCTGCCATCCCTCTCACTCCTAGGCTAGGTTCCTTCTGCAACCAATCATTAGCTGCAAACCCCTAAAGGCCAGATAATACATTTGCAAATTACAACCTGGCACATCCACGGTAGCAGGAGGAGAAAGAGCAACTTTTTGTCTTGGCAGCCAAGTTTCACCGTTGGGTGGCACCAATGTGCATTTCAGGTTTTTATGGTTCCTTGTGTGAGGTTATTGTAGCTGACTCCCCAGGTATCCTAATCTAAGAAGCAGTGAGTGAGCAGGGAGTTAGAAGCAGTGAGTATGAACTTTGCTAACTGGAAGGACTGGCTGTCCCCTCCCCTTACCTCCCAGTCTCTCTCCCTTGGATTGCCATGTACAAGATAGCCCCACCTAAAATAACTGAAGGCACTTCAGTTATGTGTTGCTTTTCCCTGCAAAACATGGGTAAGATCTTAAAAAGATCCTGGAAGCGTGTCTTTGTGGCATGGATCGAGGTACATATCCTTCCTTGAGGTGTGTTAGTTTCATCCTTCAGTACTCAGAGTTGTCTCCATAGTGCCAGGGAGGGAGGAGGGGCCAACCCCCTGTGCTTAGCCAGGATTGCCCTGGCCTGGCCACACCTTCTCACGCTTCTACAGACCTAAGAGGGACTAAGAGCTGGGATCAAAATGTTCCTGTCACAGACGCCCTGCTTCCTGAAAGAAGGAGATCCAGAGGAAAAAAGAAAAGGTGCTGGGAGCTTTTTCTCCCCCCCCCAGGCCACATCCTTTGGGGGTTGGGGTGGGGCAAAATAAACGTATGTTCAAGAAGATAGTCTATGCTGAAAATGATATATAGTGTAACCACCCAATGGGTTCACCTTGCCTGCTGCCTAGAAAGAGGTGATGTATCAAGACAGGAGAATTGCAATAGAGAAAGGGTAATTCACAGAGAGCCAGCTGTGCAGGAGACTGGAGGAGTTTTATTATTACTCAAATCAGTCTCCCAGGACATTCAGGGATCAGTGTTTTTAAGGATAATGTGGTGGGTGGGGGAAGGTCAGTGAGTTGGGAGCTCTGACTGCTCAGATCAGAGATGGAATCACAGGGAGTCCAAGCTGTCCTCTTATGCTGAGTCAGTTCCTGGGTGGGGGCCACAAGATCCGATCAGGCAGTTTATCCACCAGGGTGGTGCCAGCTGATCCATCCAGTGCAGGGTCTGCAAAATATCTCAAGCACTGATCCTTGGAGCAGTTTAGGGACCATCAGAATCTTGTAGCCTCCAGCTGCTGACTCCTAAACCATAATTTCTAATCATGTGGCTAATTTGTTAGTCCTACAAAGGCAGTCTAGTCCCCAGGCAAAAAAGAGGTTAGAGAAAGGGCTGTTATTGTCTTTGTTTTAAATTATGAAGTAAGTTTCTCCCAAAGTTAGTTTAGCTTATGCCCAGGAAGGAACAAGGGCTGCTTAAAAGGTTAGAAGCAAGACAGAGTCGGTTAGGTTAGATCTCTTTCACGGTCTCAGCCATAATTTTGCAAAGGCAGTTTCAGCCAGGTGCAGAGGCTCACATCTGTTAATTCCAGTACTTTGGGAGGCAGAGGCAGGTGGCTCACTTGAGGCCAGGAGTTCCAGAGCAGCCTGGCCAACAAGGCAAAATCCCATCTCTACTAAAAATACAAAAATTAGCCAAGTGTGTCACACCTGCAGTCCCAGCTTCTCCAGCAACTGAGGCACAAGGATTCCTTGAAACCGGGAGGCAGAGGTTGCAGTGAGATGAGATTGGGCCACTGCACTTCAGCCTGTAGGACAAAGCGAGATTCTCTCTCTCTCTCTCTCTCTCTCACACACACACACACACACACACACACAAACACACAGACACATTCTATCAAAAAAACACTTGCACTTATAGGTTTATCACAGCACAATTCACAATTGCAAAAATATGAAATCAATCTAAGTGCTCATCAACCAATTAGTGGATAAAGAAAATGTGGGGTGTGTGTGTGTGTGTGTGTGTGTGTGTGTGTGTATGTATGTATGTATGTATATTACAGAATACTACTC